TAATCAGTAAATAATTCAGGATGTGAATGAGAAATTTACCAAAAGATATTTTGAAAAGAACCAAATAGAAATTCTGGAACTGAAGAATTCATTGAAGAAAATACAAAATACACTTGAAATCTTCGACAACAGACTAGATCAGGCAGAAGAAAGAGTCTCAGAACTTGAAGATAAGTCTTTTTAAATAATTCAGTCACACAAAAATAAAGAAAATAAGAATAAGAAAGAATGAGCACAGCCATTGTGACATTTGTGACAACCTGAAGTGAACAAATTTATGAATTATTGGTATCTGTGGGGGTGAAGAAACAAAGAAAGCATTAAAAACCTATTTAACAAAGTAATAGATGAAAACTCCCCAGGTCTAGCAAGAGGTTTAGGTATTCAAATACAGAAAACTCAACTATCCACAGGCAGATACTATGCAAAAAGGTCTTCCGCACAGCTCATTATAATTAGACTGTCTGAAGTCAAACCTAAAGAGCAAATCCTAAAAACAGCAAGAGAAAGGCATCTAGTCACCAATAAGGAAAACCTCATCATACTAACAGTGTATTTCTCAGCAGAAACCTTACAGGCCAGAAGAGAACAGGATGATATATTCAAAGTGCCAAATAAAACAAAAACAAAACAAAAAACTGTCACCGAAGTATACTATACCTAACAAAGTTATCCTCCATAAATGAAGGAGAAATAAAGTAATTCCCAAACAAATAAATTCTGAAGGATTCATTACCATAAGACTGGCCCTACAAGAAATGCTCAAGAAAGTCCTAAACCTGGAAATGAAAGGACAACATTTACCATTGTGAAAACACATTAAAGTACAAAAGTCACTGGTAAAGCCATCATACAAAGGAGGAAGAGAAAGGACTGAAATGGAACTACTACAGAAACCCACCAAACCACAAGGAACAAACTATAAGGGAAAAATAAAGGATCGTAAAACAGCCAGAAAAAGATTAGCAATATGTTAGGAACAAAACTTTACATATCAATATGTGAACAAAAATGGATTAAATTCTACTCCTAAGAGATACAGAATGGCTGAATTATTTTCTAATCATTTTCCATTATTTTTCAGAATTCTCTTATATTTCACTGAGCTTCTTTAAAATCAACATATCCAGCTATATCCTGCTTACAAGAAACTCATCTTACCATTAAAGACACACATGGACTGAAAGTAAAGGGATACAAAATGATATTCCATGCAAACAGAAACCAAAAGCAAGCAGGACTAACTATACTTAGATAAAACAGACTTTAAGTCAACAAAAGTAAAAAGAAACACCTGTAGAATATACATTCTTTTCATAGCACACGGAACATTCTCTGGAATAGGCCATATGTTAGGACACAAAACAAGTCTCCATACATTTTTTAAAATCTAAATCACATCAACTATCTTCTCAGACCACAATGGAACAAAACTAGAAATTGATACCAACAGGAATTCTGGAAACTATACAAATATGTGGAAATTAAACAACATGCTCCTGAATGACCACTGGGTCTATGAAGAAATTAAGATGGAAATCCAAAAAATTTCTTGAAACAAATGAAAATGGAAACACAACATACCAAAACCTGTGGGATATAGAAAAAGCAGTGCAAAGAGGTAAGTTTATAGCATTAAATGCCTACATAAAAAACTAGAAAGATTACAAACTAACAAACTAACAATGCACCGGATGAACTAGAAAAGTAAGAACAAACTGAATCCAAAATTAGCAGAAGAAAAGAAATAATAAATATCAGAGAAGAACTAAATGAAATACAGACTAAAGAAACAATACATTAAAAAAAAAAAAAAAAAGACAGACTAGAAGCAGCCTGCCAGCATCAACTCTCAAGGAAAGAAGTGAAAATTGCAGACGAGTGCCTATATACACTCTTCTTGCTCTTCTTGGAAGCAACATTGTGAAATCACAGAGAAGCAATGCAGGACACTCAGTGTGGGAAAAAAAAAAAAGGTGACAGGGTGATACATTTGACAAGATCAAAGTACGTGTGGGGAAGAATAGGAGGGTAGAGCGCTGGGATGCCACATGCACCCCACAGGCACTGTGGCCAAGTTGTGAGGGGGTTCCCTCCACTGCCACAGACCTCTAACTGGGTGGACCAGGGTCCTGCCTGCAGTCTGTGTACAGTTATTGCCCCAGACAGCAGGCACAGTGGGGATTGGGCAGCAGCTAAAGCAATCCTGAGCTCTCAGGTGCATGGCGCCAGATTAGCGTGGGATTCAGCTTTGTGGTGGAGGCCTTCATACCCTGCCTCTACCAGGCTGGGTAGGGAGCAGATTAACTGCAGGCTCCCCTAAACCATACCCTGCGACTGGAAGCCAAGTACTCCCCCTTATAGCACAACGGGATCTGAACATGGGAATTGACTGAGGTGGGAGGCTTTGGGCAACTGCTTCAGCAGGTTCTTGGGGAGGTGGGGAGAACTCTGCAGCCCCTGGGCCACTGGAACTGACCTCCACCCACGTGGCTTGGAATCTGTGCAGTCCCCAGTCCTTTTGGCCCCAGCTCCACTCTCCAGGTCCCGACTGCCTCCCACATGCTCAGCCCTGACCCCACCCTCCAGGTCGCATCAGCCCTGCCACCAACATGGCCCTGCTTCCAATTCTGCGACCCTGCTCAGAACCCCAATTCTGGTTCCTCCTCAGTCACAGCTCTGAGCTCTCACCTAGGAGACCAAGGCGCCACCTCTGTGCCTCCAGAGCTCCCACCAGTCCCCAGAGGCTGCCCCCAAGATTCTAGCACTGCATGTAGGTCCCAAGACCCCACCATGGAGCTCCCACCATTGCTGCAGGAGGTAGAACTGTTCCAAAGTCCAATGCCCTGCCAGGAACTCCCCAGCTTTGAGCCACTAGTACACTGGGACCTGGTTCAAGCAAATGCCCACGGTCCAGGAACCCATGATCACTTCCTAGATAGCCTCACCCAGCTTTTACTCTCACCTCTGCAGGGAGACCCTGGGCAGAGGAATCCTCACAACACCACCATCAGTGAAGAGGGTCTCACCCAGCTCCCATCTCAACATCCTACAACTATCTGGTGAACAACCCAACACCCAACACAAACAGCATCCAGCACAGGCTTGAACAGAGGAAATCAGAACAAATCAGAACAGCTGTGTTACAGGCTTCTAGTGCCCCTCCTCTGCCGCATCAACATTCCAGAGTGTGTGTGGAGGGGGCACCATCTAGGGACCTCCCCTTCTTCTAATTAAGCAGGAGAGTTCCCAGCAAAGAATAGGTGCTATGCAAACCTGTTAGCTCTGAGTCTAGAATAGAGTTTCAGATGAGAAGAAACCAGCAGAAGAATCCTGGCAACATGAAAAATCAAAACAGATCGACACCCCCGAGGTATCACAATGGAGCTACAGTAGTGAACTCCAACTACAAGGAAATTGTTGAAATGACAGAAATGGAATTCAGAATATTGATGGCAAATAAGATGAATGGAATTGAAGAGGAAGTTGAAAACCAACAAAAATAAGCCAAAAAGAAAAAAAATTCAGGAAATTAATGAAAAAATCACTAGAGAGCTAGACAACATAAGGAAGGCTATAACAGAACTTAAAGAAATGAAAGAGTCATTTAGGGAATTTGAAAACACAGCAGAAAGCTTCAGCAACAGACTAAACCAAAGAGAAGAAAGAAGGAATCTTAGAGCTTCAAGACAAGGCTCTCGAACTAACCCAGTCACTTAAAGAAGCAGAGAAGAGAGCAAAAAAGGCAGAGCAATCACTTAGAGAGATATGGGACTGACATATGAATTATAGGTATCTCTGAGGGAGAAGAAGAAAGAGCTAAAAGCATAGAAAATCTATTCAAGGGAATTATTGAGGAAAACTTCCCTGGAATCACCAGAGATCCAGACAACCAGACACAAGATGGTCATCGAATACCAGGAAGATTCATAGCAAATAGGACATCTCCAAGAAGCATAGTAATCAACCTGGCCAAAGTCAAAATGAAAGAGAAAATTTTATAAGCAGCTAGGCGTAAACAACAACTGAGCCACAAGGGAAAACACATCAGGCTAACAGACTTCTCAGCGGAAACCTTACAAGCCAGAAGAAAGTGGAGCCCCATCTTCAATCTTCTTAAACAGAATAACTGCCAGCCTAGAATTTTGTATCCTGTGAAACTAAACTTCACAATTGATGGAGAAATTAAGTCTTTTCCAGACAAGCAAACACTGAAGAAATTTGTCATTACCAGACCTGCCCTGCAGGAAATACTTAGAACTGCATTATACGTGGATCAGCACTTTAGATACCCACCAGTGTAAAATCACCCAAAATAGCTAAAGCTCACAACTCCTATAAAACAATAGCACAAAAGGGAAAACAAAGCAATGTGATACTACCCAATATGTTGAACAGGGCAGTATCCCACATATCAATTATATCTCTAATATTAACAGTTTAAATGTACCACTCAAAAGACATAGGCTGGTTCAATGGATGAAAAAGCACAACCAAAGTATCTGCTGTCTCCAGGAGACACATCTAAACCACAAGGATGCACACAGGCTCAAAGTGAAAAGATGGAGAAAAATATTCCATGCAAATGAAACAAAAAGAAAGCAGGTGTAGCCATTCTCATATCAAACAAAATCGACTTTAAAAAAACAATGGTAAAGAAAGACAAAAATGGTCACTATATAATGGTAAAGGGAACAATTCAGCAAGAAGACATAATAATCCTAAATATATATGCACCTAACACAGGAGCTCCCAGATACATAAACAAATTCTATTAGAGCTAAGCAGGGAAATAAATAATAGCATTGTAATTGCTGGGACCTTAACACTGCACTATCAGAGCTGAACAGATCATCCAAGTAGAAAATAAATAAAGAAACATCGGACTTAAATGGGGTGCTAGGACACATGGACCTAACTAACAGACATTTACAGAACATTCTACCCCAGAACTACTGAATATACATACAGTTTTTTCATCAGCACATGGAACATTCTCCAAGATTGATGATATCTTATGCCACAAAACATGTCTTAGCAAATTTTTTAAAACACTGAAGTCATACCATGTATCTTCCCAGACCATACTAGATTAAAACTACAAATCAATTCCTAAAGTTAACAGTCAATTCTACAAAATGTCATGCAAATTAAACAACCTGCTAATGAACAATTATTGAGTGAATAAGGAAATTGAGAAGGAAATCAGAAGATTGCTCGAACTCAACAACAAAGGGGACAATGGCTATCAAAATCTATGGGACTCAGCTAAAGCATATTTAAGGGGAGAATTCATAGCCTTACATGCCCACATCCAAAAGCCAGAAAGCTCACAAATTAACATTATATCACAACTCAAAGAACTAGTAAAGGGAGAGCAAACCAAACCCAAAACCAGCAGTAAAAAACAAATAACAAAGGTCAGAGCAGAACTTAATGAAATGAAAAAAATGAAACAAAAAAATAAAGATCAGTGAAACAAAAAGTTGGTTCTTTGAAAAGGTAAGCAAAATTGATAGACCTCTTGCTAGATTAACCAGGAATGCAAGAGAAGGGACCCAAATAAGCTCGATTATGAACCCATTCTACTAAGTGAAGTATCCCAAGAATGGAAAAATAAGCACCACGTGTACTCACCATCAATTGGTTTCACTGATCAACACCTAAGTGCACATATAGGAATAACATTTATTGGGTGTCGGGCAGATGGGAG